TTCCAGTAGTAAAAGGCGACGTGGCGTCGCCGACGACGAAGGAGAGCGTCGCCGTGAGGTACAACCTCGAGGTATCTCCCGTGGTGGAGGAGATGCCGCCCGGAGCGGACGTGGCGTACGTTTGCCCGGTTTGCGGGCAAATGTTCAGCTTGCACGATCGTCTCGCCAAACACATGGCCTCGAGGCATCGCAGACAGGGTCCTCAGGACGCGTCAGCGAAGGCGTACCTCTGCGACGTATGCAAGAGGAGTTTTGCCAGGTCGGACATGCTCACCAGACACATGAGACTGCACACGGGCGTCAAACCGTACACGTGCAAGGTTTGCGGCCAGGTATTCAGCAGGTCGGATCACCTGAGTACCCATCAGAGAACGCACACAGGCGAGAAACCATACAAGTGTCCGCAGTGCGCGTACGCCGCCTGTCGCAGAGACATGATCACCAGGCACTTGAGGACCCACGCCAGATTTCCCGACGTTCAGACGCCTAAGAGCGAACCTGGCCTTCTTGCTGGCGAAGATAGCCCCACGTTTGCGCAGGAGCTAGCCTCCCCTTCGGCAACGATCAAGGCCGAATGACGACGGCCAGGTGGATGACCGCCGCGTTTCTCGCCCGTGACTCCAAACGGATTTCGAGAAGGTGAGCTTCGACCAGCTTCGACGAACGGTTTCGGCGCCGAAGTTGCAAGGTCTCGACAGAGACGATGACAAGACACGAGGATCGCAGAGGACAACGACGGAAGGCAAGATCGATTCGTCTGGGTGGAATTGGCCCAACGATTCACCAGACCCTACGATTCGGTTAGAATTAAGGAAATTTTTCGTTATTTTGTCGTTTTCGTAAAATTTGTCGTTATCGTATAACGAAATACATAGCGTTATCGGTCTTGAAATTTTACGCGTTTTTTAACAGTATTATATGGTATTCGTCTTCCCCGTTGTTTCTCCTAGAAACTCGTGCGACGTTCATCTTCCGGAGTCCTTTATTGTTCATCGAAAACTTGGCTGTTCGGAGATCATTTCGAAAATGACTGTCATCTCGCGTGAAATATTCGTTTTGTATCTGGAAGTTTAACAAACTGTCAAATGATTCTTCTATTCGCGTAAAATAGATCGATTCTTTTCGACATTGCAAACTTTTTTATTTATTTCCTATTTTCTGTTGATCCGCGAGAGTATCGTTCATCGTTGGAATTTCTCCGAACAACCGATCACTGTTAAACGATGGTTAGTCTCTCTCAGACGTCATTTTTGCGCATGAAACGGAAACGATTTGAAAGCATTCCCGCGGGAATTGCACGCGCAATTCACGCATATCCGCGCTCCGAAGGTTCGAAATTCGAAACATGACGGTATGTTCAAGAAACTTCGGTATGTTCGAGATACTCGCGATTTTTTCGCGATGTCAATCTTCCATCGAAGTGTATCGTTGTTTCGCGAGGAAGGAGACTAAAAGAGGAGAAACTTGTGCCAAATTTTCACGGTCGATCCGTTGTTAAGCCTCGTTCACATGGTTACATATCGGTCGAATTGAGTACGTTGAAAAAAAGATCGTTGGTGATGTTCGTTATCTTTATAATAAAGGAAAACTTGTCTCTTTCTGAATCTGATACCATAATCATTTCATGCTCGTTTCCCTTTTGGTTCGACTATAAATTAATTATTTAAACTCTCGGTTATTTTAAACTATTTTGTCATAAAATGGTTTTAAAATAAAACTAAATGGCTTGTAACGATTCTTTCAGAAGTACGACACACATGAAAATAGATTCGACGCTTCGAGGAAAGCTGGTGAAAGTAATATTTATTCGTCAACAACGATCTTTCCGAAACTCAAACGTTGTTACTCAAAAACGAAATCCTCAATTGAGACTATCGTTTGGTTGTTGAGAAAACAACACTGTTAGCTATTATAACGACTATTAAAACAGGAGACAGAGAGAGAGAGAGAGAGAGTGTGTGTGTGTGTGTGTGTGAGTGTGCGCATGCTGCTTTATTGGGTATTGTGAATTTCCTGTCGACAGCGTCGTGTTATATATTTATCGAAAATTCGTTTGTTACTCGCGAAAACAGCGTGAAAAGGGAAGGCAGTCGAGCACTTTTGAAGGCTGCCTTTCGAGAAGATTTCAGTCTCGAGAAGAGAGAAGGGACGCAGATGGATCCGCGAGACGCGACGATTTTTCTTCGTGTGCGAAGGAAAATGAAGGAAACGAAATAAAAACTAAAAGAAAGAGAACGAACGTAACCGTACCTGCAGAAAGAAAGAAACTTAAAGCATAATAAAAGCGTTTAGATGTAACGTTAATTAGTGGGTAACGTTAATATTATTATTGCGTTTTATTATTATTATTATTATTATTATTATTATTATTATTATTATTATTATTATGGATATTAATATTAATATTAATATTATTATTATTATTATTATTATTATTAACATCATTCTCATATTGTAAACTGTTCGGAGTGAGAATGTTGCGAAAAGCGTGCGTAAGAAAGAGAGGAAGTTATTTTTTTATACGAAGAAATTTTGCGAAAGGGTCGCGAGAGAGGTAAAGGAAAAGGAACACCGAGCGCGGGCTACGTGTTATCTAACTGTAAATTCATTTAGTATCGAAATTTGCAAAAATTCAAGATCGAACTTAAAGGGTATATTCTCCTGTTTAAGGGAAGGACTAGTCCCCTGTCGGAGTTCTCTTCCAAAGTGGCGCTCTCTCGCGAAGCAGATGGACGAAACGCCTTCGACCATTTCGCGTTTCCGGTCCACGGTGACCAATTCATTAACTAGTGTATTTCGTCGAAGCGCGGTCTGAATTCGACCGTTCGGGATTTTGCGGCGCGGACGATTCCTCGAAAAAAATACTCACTGGTTCGACTGGCGGATCGCGTTCTCGCGATCGCGAGAAAGATGACAAACGTGTACTCGACTATCGAACACTTTGTCGACAGACGCTTTAAGCGAAGGCTTGTTACAATTTCAGAAAATAGAAAAATTCTATTAAAATTGAAAAGAAATACGCGGCAATCGGAATTAATTGGAATTAAAATCGCAAAGCGAGTCATAAATAATCTTGTCGCGAATATCAAATGTGATAGAGATGTGTCGAAAAAGCGTCGACGACACAGTGTCTTCGCGTATGACGTTTCATCGGAGACTACACGCGGTGTCAGCTATATACTTCAACCTTGCTCAACCTCGACCGTTTCGCCTTTTTCCTTGCCATAACTCGGCCGCTGTCCAGTGTGTCTCCCGTTCGTGACCACGGTAAAACGGGCAGTGACGAATATCGCGAGTCACGCCCTGTGTAAACACGCACGATGCTCATCCGTATTAACACACGCGACCACACATGATATTGCATATACACGCTCATAGACACAGAGACAGAATACAATATTGTACATCCATAGACGCGTTGTTCAGGAAATACACGGTGGTAAGGTGCGCGTAGTTGAAAGACGCGCGCACGCGCAGGTACGTATAGCTGTATTTTTGTATACCGATGTTTTTTCTAATTAGTCTACCGTTTTAAGCGTTTCGAGAAGGAACGGAACGTGTAATTAGCCGTTAAGGGGAAACTGTCGCTCTCTGCTTGCCATTTTAACTTGCCTCTGTCGATCGAACGATTACTCGGAAGGCGGCTTGTCGGAGTGACAAGAGAAGGATACACGAGGGAGAGACCTCGAGGCGGAAGGTTTCGTTTGATGGGCCTCGACGTTTTCTTCGCGGAGATTGTTCGTATTTCGAAACATTGAAATTACGTTTTGTAAATTCAGAAACTTATATTTTGATATCGTGAGAAATTGTGCAGTTTGTTTTTGTTATTTTTTATTTTCTATTTTTCTTTTTTTAATGATATTTTTGTCCTTTTTTTGCATAATTACTTTCTTTCCTTTTCTTTTTTCTTTTCGATATGAAATCACAAGGATAAATTTGGATGACATAAATTGGAACATAAATGGTTGTCCGATCTATTAAATTTTCGTTGTATCGAAACTTCCGATTCGATATCTGACCTTCGCGCGATTCAGCCTTAAACCTGAGAGAATCTCTCGCGCAACGAGCCCTTTTTCGCTTGATGAGACATATGTAGATTGAAACGAAACGATATAGAAGGGACATAATTGTATAGTAAAAGAAAGACAAAAGAATAAGAAAGATGCGACACGCTCGTCGTGTCTGCAGGCAATTAAGCGATCGCCGTGCCAGACAACCTGTTCTTGTAATTATTAACACTCATTTAGCCATTCGTATGATTATAATTATTTCTATTATTATTATTATTATTATTAATTATTATTATATTATTATTATTATTATTAATTATTATTAATTATTATGCCTAGTTACGTTGTTAAGTGATTAATCATGTTTAATGCTTCTATTATTTATTTTGTTATCCTATTCGCAAATCAAGCTTCCTATTTTTCGTCCTATTCTTACATTCTTCCTACCCTTTTTCCCTTGTTTCTCGTTTCATCGAAAAATCCTGTCCGATTCTCGTTCTTTTCAAGGTGAAGAAGAGCGCTCGGTTTCAATTACAAACATCCGTCGCATTTATAAGTTCGTATTCCGGCTTCTTCTCCGCCCTTCCGCGTCATTTCCTCTTCTGCACGTTCTGCGCAAAAGAAGTAAATGGCAAGGAACGACGAGAACGGTCCTTCCCGCGATGATTTTTACGGTTCCGTGACATTCTGTTTACGTTTTGTATAACGACGAACAAGAGATTCGACAAAAGCAAAAGGAACAAAAATAGAATAAAAATAAAGCGCTCACAAGGGTTTCTGTAAATTATTGCCGACGACGATTGTGTATGTTAATTTATAAATTATGTTGTGTTTACGAATCGTGCCAGAATGGAAAAAAAATATAATTTTTCAACGAACTGTCACGCGCGTTTTCATTCAGTCCATCACGAATCATTCCAATGTATTCCCCGATTTTTCCTTCTTTATTTTCATCTTCGTTTTTCTTCTCTTAGGTCTTTCCATTCGATTCTTTTTTTATTTATTTTCCTTTTATTCGTGGGTTTATTTAATTATCACGAAAACGGTGCCGTGCCTTCATCGTTGTAGCGTTTGGAAAGAGATTGGGGCGTCGCCGAGCCTCGTCGAATCATAGAATACATATCATCTTTTAAGGCTGAAGATACACGGTAAGAACGTACGTAGAAAATGAAATATTTTTTCATGGTCGGTGAAATAATACAGGAAAAACTTAGCAACTGTATCTGTCTATCGCTTGCGTACGATCGGTGTTGCGCAAAACGAATCGACGATTGCATGTCTTCACGGCCTTTTTTAAAGGAAAGGGCTCGAACGGATTTTGCGATGTTCCCTTTGTACCCGTTTCTACGATCACGAGTCGATAATCCTTGTATCTGTACATCGAACAACAAACCGAATCTGTATGTTGCTGCACTCTTACGATGAAAATATATATACACGTTAATTGTTTCTACATTGACTGTGATTTATCAACGAACTTCACCAAACTTCATTAGCTTTCACGAGTTGCTGTGAATACGCGCGTAAGTAAAACTTGTTATTAATTCATTTCACATCATAACTATATCAGTGCAATTGTAAAACTAAACGTCATTGGAAAATCGTAATATTGTATCGGTATAATTACCGGACTAAAATTGTTCAACAAACCAATCATATTTCGAAAAATAAAAATCTTTCTATTTATAAAAAAAAAAAATACAAATTCCAAATAATTACATACCTATCGTTAACAAATCAATCGCACGATTTTCTCAAAATAACGCCGGTAGATGTAGTAAAAAAAAAAACATGCTTCGAATTACAATTGCAAAAGAAATAATAGAAGAAGAATAAAAGGAAGCGAAATAAATCCAACCACAATCGGTGAAGGAAGAATACAAGAGGCGAATTGTTAGCCGGATAAAATTTCGTTCGACAACGTGCTGACTCGATACATTTACCGAGGTGGACGCACGATGAAAATAAAACGACGCGCGGATGTTCTTGGCTCGAAAATATTATTCCGCTGCGTTTTCGATGATTAATTCTCGCGATGCACGCGATCGGCAGGTAGTATGTTCTCTGTACGCCGCGAACATCCGTGGCCGTGATTCGCGTGTACGCGCCACGGGACCGAACAGCATCACGAGATCACCGAGTGCCGCGCAGCAGTTTATTTTCTCCGCGCCCAACTCTCCAATGAGCCGAAATCGAAGCCGAGAGAGAAAGGCAGGGGCGCGAGTAACCACGTTGAAATTCGTTAGAGGAACACGTTTTTTTTTTTTTTATTTTCTTATGGGAACCGGGAATACGTTACTCAAGCGGTTGATACTCGAGTGACCCATCTCATATAATCGTCTGACGAAATACACGCTAATAGTATCCGGTCCTTCAACGAATCTGTTACGGTGGTGGTTTCTTTTCTATTTAACGAGATGGTATAGCCTTGCTGATTTGTACGAGGGTACGAATGAAATATACATAGTTTGTAGAAAGAGTGGATAAATGTCAGACGTATCTGAATCAGTAAGTCGGACTTCGTTACTTTCGATTAGTAGGAGAATCCATGAAATGTGGTGGTGATAGGATCGAACAAGGTAGTGGATGACATAAATTCGAAGAGCAGAAGATTCGTAAATTTACATTGTAAGAAATTTGAATATTTGAATATTTGAAAATTTGGAAGCGTGTAAGTAAATTTAACGCTACACTGATTCCACCTTCAACGAGAGAAATCTCACCGTACGTGTCCAAAATATTCTTACGAGTTTATCTCCGCCCAATCGCAGAGTGCATTTCATTCACCTTTCGACCTGAGTGTTTAAATCTCGCCGGTAGATTATACGTTTAATTATGGGATCGATTACGCCGCCGCGAGATATCTCGATCGATAACCCGAGCCTCGACTTCTCGTTCATCAAAGCGGCTTTCTGTTCTCGTTAAATCAAGACCATGACTTCCGACAGAAACCGCGATTGCTCTATTTGATCAATAGCAACGTTCAACGGTTGTCCGAATCTCATTTAAAAACACCAAGTAAGAGCGATGGATAGCAAATGGAGTGATTATTGCTTGAAAGTGCAGTCTCACCTATCGCGATCAACTCGAACGCGTCATCCATTGACGTTTATTCTAATCTCCATGAAAAACCTTTCCTACTTACGATCGATATTCAGCTCGTGAAAACCAAGTAAAGATAAATAACGAATCTCTATTTAACACGTTGATTACTCTTATATTGTGCGCGATAAAGAACTTAGATATCAGGTATCGGGGTATTATACGATACAATGACAGCTATCAACGATGCATCGTTAAAACGAAATACAAGAAAAGTAATGAAATTGTTCAAACGAGCGTACAAAGCAAAAGCAAAACGGAGCTTTCGTTGTACAACTTCACAGTACATATCGTCGGTTCTATTTCTACGTAAAAATACAAATCAGCTAAGTACGAAATTGAGAAATTGTAGCATCTTTGTACAACGATGTAAGACAATGTCATAACGAACATGTCACAAAAGACAAATACGTACTACGTAAGATTCAAGTAACTTGAGCGCTGACTGCTGTAACGATATATGTATGTACTATAATAGCATACTTATGTCCAACAAAGCGCTAAATTGCACTCTAACGATTTTTACACACATTGAATCTCATGTCTTGAAGTCTTCCACAAAGTAAATCATAATTGGTGCGAAATGAATGCAAAACCTTTGATTAAAGAATTAACAAAATAATATAATAATAATAATAATAATAATAAATGTAATAAAATAAATAGAAAATAACGAACGATAAAAATACAAGTAACAGTAATAAAGATAAAAAGAACTGTGAGCAAAAGGAAGTGAAGAAAGGGTGCAACCAGGGTGTACGTACCCGGAATAAAAAAAAGAACAGCGCGGCAGCCTCGAGGATGCTCGAAATTTTACGAAAAGCAACACAGGTGACGGGGGCATTAAGGGATGTACAAGGTTGTTATCGCGTGAACGCATAATAACGTTCGGCTTGATTTACGTTACGCCTGGGATTTCAGGTGGATATCTCATTATACCGCGTATTATATGCACGCTCGGCTCAAGGTGTACGTGAGATAGGTGTGTACATTGTACACGCATATCGGCGCGCTCGTATCCTGTTCGCCGGCCGATCGATAGCCCGGATAAGTGGTAATGGAATAATCGACGTTCCGTGTAAAGGATATTCGGATAATCAGGCATCCCGATGCGCCATATCTCTATAGCAATATCCGGTGACACAGTTTTTCAAATATTCGCACACTATCGGCGGGAATCACCGCGCGACCGGTCGACCGTCCCGCGAACCGGTTACCGGAAGAGGGAGAAACTTGTAATTGGATTAACGGACCATTGTCAGTCTTATCTTAATCGCCTTTTATGCGTTGCGCGTTGTTTACGACTGGAAATTGCTGATCGACATTTCGTACAGCCAACGATCAAGTCGTAGATACTAACGATTTTACGATACGACGTTTTGTTACTCCTCCTCCTTAGGTTTAGAAGAAAATTCTATGCTCTTAATTCTACGCTCCGTACGCTTCTTTTAAAGCAAAAAGAATTTTCCTTTGCCGATATCAGTGTCCTTTTTTCGTTATTTTCGTTATTCTTCGATTTTGATTATCGGCGTTTCGATTTTAAAAATCTCTGACATCATGCTTCATATATGATTCTTGATGTGGTTGATATAAAAGTAAAACAAATCGTCTTTAAACAGTCGTTCGTTGTTGTAATATTTCGGTTGATATATGCTGGTGCTCTAGCTTGCAAGTTTACGAAGATTCGGTTACAGATTTGCGCGTGCCTTTCTCGCTTTCGGTATTTTGATATCGTTATTAGATGCGGCGAAGAAGAAGAGGATCTAGCTACCTTAGAAAAGAACGTGACAATATTACGATGTTCGAGGGAGTGCGAGACGACGTCGCCTTGGAAAAGTGCTGACGATCCGGGTCATCCACCTCCAATCTTTCCTCAGCAGAATCTTACGGTAGGTAATATACATCTCTTCTTTGCACGATATTAATATCTTTTTATCGCCAACTACTTTTTCTATCATACTCTGCAATACTCTAAAGATTACTGTAATTTTTAACACGACTAATAAACGAAATGGAATTTTACTTTTCTTGTACCAAGGTTTTTATCCCTAAATAACTATGTTCCTCGTGATACCGTATTTCTTTCAGACTATTTAAACAGCTAATAAATAAACGAATGTTTGTACTCTTTTATATCATTTTTTCTATCATTCTACCTTTCATCTTTCTGCTAATATATTAAAAATGTTTTCAATTTCGTTATAATATATACCACGACTAATAGATGAAACTAAAATTTAATTTCCTTGAGTATCCAACTTTTCGATCAAATCTATATCGATTTCTTCGTCATCTTACAAACTTGAATGTAATTGTATGAAAGACCGGAAATCTGAAGTCATCTCGCAATTTATCATATCAGCATGTCATTTGAAGCAACTTAGTAAGCCACGGAGCAAACTAAACATCGGAACAGAATCAAAGAGAATATAGAAGCCAGTTAGACGTGATAACTTTCGACATGGCAAAGCGTCGACAGACTGCTGGAAAACATTTCGGATAAAATCACCGATTCACCAGTTGTCTTCCCTTAAACCCACGAACATAATTAAACTCCGATACAACGAAACCTAAGAATCATAATTAACGATACAAGAACCAAACAAAATGAACACCCACCGATATATCAACCGCCCTTCGATGTATTAAAATTCTATATCACACGACGAAATAATCAAAACTATGAAAGCTGTTATCGCGAAGCGTAACAACGAGATAGCCAATTCGCGGGATCGCGGCCAGCTCGTTTCAGCCCCACGTTCCGTATCGGTATTTAATCCGCGATCTTTTCAATCTTCGCGACTCGAAAGAAGGGAATACACGGTGAAGGAACGAAAGACAAAGAACGAAAGCACGAGGATGGTCGGTCAGGATGAATCGATGGAAAGGAGAAGAAAAAGGGGAAAGACCAAAAGGGGGCAGACCAGGTGGGGGTTTGAGAGGGGAAGGTGGTCGCGATAAAAAGTTGGACCGGTCCACGGCGTAGAAAGGCGAGCGTGGCGTGGGTGGAACGAGGACCAGTGACAAGTACGATCAGCCGGTTC